ACAAAATTACTAGGAATTGGCTTGGGTTGCTATTAATGTGAAGTTTTTAAGTATACTATATATGCCAAGTTGACTGCATCTGTGAACATGTAATATTGTTTCTGGTCTGTCATTAACTAGAGAGTTTTGTTATGAGAAGGATATTTCGGTTCCTTGCAACATTGTCTACCAAATTAAAACTTTATAAATATCTTTCTAAATTTTGTTCATCTTTCAGGTTGAGTTTTCTGAAATTACTTTCACATTGGTAAGGTTATTACCTTCTTTTAAATTTTGCCCCCACCCTCATCCAAGAGAATAATAATTGTTACTAGCTGAGGGGCTGCCCCAAGAATTAAGTAAGTTAGATACTAGACACAGTGCTTAGCGTGTAACAAACACCCAACATTAGCTAAAATTATCATAAAAATATTTCTGTCCTAAACAAATTATCTACAAAAGAGGTACTTAAGTAACTTCATGACACATCTTTTTCTCTTAAAAAAAAAAAAAGTATTTTTGAATCATTTCCTCTACTTTTTTTCTTTTAACTATGGTAACTAATTCTAAAAGTGGTAGACATTGTCAGAACTCATGACATTTTTAGCTATGTTGTTTATGTTAAATATATGTATATGTGACATAATGGCATATGAATTTTGGTTAAATGTGATTGAACAAAAAGTAAATATAGTTGATGTTTATAGATATTTGGCCATAATGATGTTAAATAAGAGATACCTTTCTTGTTGAAGGTATTTTCAGAGGTTTTTGGACCCTAACTCTCAGTTAATATAGTATTTCCCTTTGTTCTCTTTTCAAACATAGTAATATTGCAGAGTTATTTCAATCACATTTATTATTCAAAATCCTGAGAAGAAAATAATTAAGAAAGTGCCAGTAAGTGTATCTCCATAGTGTTTCTATGTGATTTGTACTTTTTGGTAAAGTGTACTTCACCGGTGGTTTTTCATTTCAGAGTAAAAAAGCTAAAGCCCTTACGTGTAGGCCTATGAGGGCTGCATAATCTGAGCATGTCTACCCCAATCCCTCTCAGGCTTTCTGCTACTGTTTGTCCTCACTCATTGACTCCACTCCCACTGGCTTCCCCACTGCCCTTTATATTGGCTTTCTTCCACCTGCACTGTTCTTTCCTGATAAACCTACAAGGCTGACTTCTTCACTTCCTTAACTATTGGCTCTCACCTCACCTTCTCAATGCAGCTACCTTTTCACTATAACTACTATAGTAAAATTACTGTACCGCTTCATCTGTCTTACACTGTCCTACTTTTTTCCCTCTCTGAAACACTTTTTTTTTTTTTTTTTTTGCTGAGGAAGATTGGCCCTGAGCTAACGTCTGTTGCCAATCCTCCTCTTTTTTTTTTTTTTTTTCGTGCGCGTGAAGAAGATCATCCCTGAGCCAGCATCTGTGCCTGTCTTCCTCCACTCTACCTGTGGATTGCTGCTACAGCATGGCCAGTGAGTGGTGCAGGTGTGCACCTGGGACCCAAACCCACAAACCCAGGTCGCTAAAGCAGAGTGTGCCAAACTCAACCACTACGCCATGGAGCCAGCTCCTCTGAAACACTTTTTGACATTTGCTTTGTGATAAGTGAGCTAAAGGCCAAAGGCAGAAGTTGACTTCTGTTTGTTGAACAGGCACATCCTCCACCAAAAGTGCCTTTGCCCCCATGTATATCCAGTTGTCAGTTTCTTCGCCACGCTTTTCAAAGAAAGCACATTGACATAGAGGAAAATGTGTATTTTGAGGAAATGACATTATAATACTCCTTTTTGGATTTAGAGAGCCCTTTTCTTCCAAAAAGCTAATTTTTATTAATGAAGACTAGAGCAGGAAAAGTAAAACGGCTTATATAGAATCACACAGATAGTTGGTCGAGCTACTAAGAAAAGCACCCAAATTTCTCTTTGTTCAGTACATCATCCTGTGTGGAGCTGTGTTGGAGGTTCTCTCTCATTGTTCTGAGTTGTCACCTCATCTCAGTTCATACCCAGTGGCAAAGGAAATGAAGAGGTAAATTTAAAACTTAACCAGGATTTTTGTAACTTTTTTCACCTTTCAATCTGAAGATGAAAAATATTATTTTTAGAGGATGAGAAAGTGAACAAAACAGTTTCAGACCTTTATCTACTGAAACAATATTATAAGTCTCTTGTCTCAGTGATAGAGAGAGAGTATACTTTAAAATGACTGTAATTAAATATTGTGACTATGAAAGGAACATTACATTTTACAGCAGGTGAAAATAATGAGATAGTATGTAGCATGAGTGGGCGTAGGGGAGAGAGCTGTCTAATTTTGGCCTATTGGAACTAGTATAGATTTTCTTTCCAGCTCAGCAGAAATGTAGCTTCAAGACCATAGTAGCAACTTTCCTTTCTTCTTGGAGATTTCAAGTTCTTGAGGTATATATTCTTCTCTCAGCTTTGAAATAGTTACAAATCTTCTAAGAACTAAAGAACCTGGATATTCAAAGGCCTTCTCTGCATCCACAGATAAGTTACATTGTTGTGGAGGCTGAGAAAATCTAGAAGTGTAGACTTCTTCCTCTTATCATTAGTTGATTTAGCTTACCTAGATTCCTTTCTTTTCCCTCTTTAGTGAAAATTGTTCAAACTTCAAGAATAATTTAATTTCTTCTTTTTGAACCCAATGACATTCTTTAGGTCAGAGTTGTGATATTTTTTTCATGAAACAGAATCTAAAAGAGAAAAAGAAGTACAAGTGACATATTTGTTAAGAGTTTGAAATGTGGTTGCTCATGCTAGCCAATATAATTTCAAATAGTTAAAAGCATTGAAATATATTTGTTTAATGAGTTCATATGCCTGAAGACTAAAATTACGTGTTTGAAAGAAAGTGAGGAAATAAGTTTCCATTTTTTTCCTTAGCCAGAACATTGCAAATTAAGGAAAAGTGTTTACTAGATCATTTTCTCCTTGCTAATGGAACTCACTTTTCTCCCACTTTCATTTCTCTATCAATTATTCAGAGATTAAAATATTGTAATACTCAATCTCATGTATCTCCTAATTATAGTTAATTATCAGAGGAAAGATGAGATTTTCTTCTACTTTCACCAGCCCCTCTCCCCACCTGCCTGCCCCCCATATAGAATTGCCTAACTTGGATAATCACTCTTTAAAGTCGTGTTCCTAAAGTCTAAAGGTCTTGTTGTTCAATGTGCTTTGACAAACTGATTTGTTTAAATTCAGTGCTTTGTGCCATTCCTGTGAATTTTAGCTAATTATACGTCCATTTTTTTAGAAATGTGCATTAGAAGTCACGTGTGCCTAATTCTGAAAATGGCTTTGTACATTAAGGCTCATTTAACCACTGATGGTTAGAGAGAAGTTGAGAGACTCACAGTTATTGGTCATAATTTTTAAAACAGTAATAGCATGGAACTTTCTTGTACTGCAGGTGGGCATATAAGACGCTATGTTGTCAACCTCTAAGACATTAGGAATGTTGCAAGTTGGCTTATGTCTTACTGGTCAGGATATCACAGTGAAGATAGTTTAGTTGTGGAAAGAAAATCAGTGTCCAGAGTGCAAAGATAGTAATAGGGTAAGCACTTCCAGTAGGATTTTCGGAGTCCGGATTGATTTGTGTGCATTACTGGGTCTGTGTAAAATGGTGTCCTTTTGGCACTAGCTGAATATAAATTTCTGTAAATGTTTTTTCTTGCTGAAGATTAGTGTAATACGGTGAAATTTTCTGTAACTGAGGGGAGGCAGTGGTTGGCGTCTGCCGATAGCCTGAAAGTAACTAATGAGGATGTGCAGTCGGAACGATTGATTGAATAGCTGCAGTCTGTGTGTTTCTTTCTCGCTTGCTCTCTCTGCAAGCTGTAGAGAGGGAGGGGGAAGAGCAAGACACAGGGAGGGAGCGAGCAAAAAAAGGCTTTCTCTTAAGTGGAACTAGCACGGATCCCAGGGGCCAGGAGGCCAGAAATGGAAGTTTAAACTGCATCTATCTTTTAAAGGGAGAACAGCAGGAATCAAAATGTCAGTCTCCGGAGTCACGATTTACTCCTCATTTTTTAAGATCTGGAAGATAACACAGAATACTTTTTTTAGGATGTGGTTTTTTTTCTTTTCTTGTCCATGTTGAGATTATCTAATGTTATCTGAGAAGCTGGATTCCTATATGTCTGTCAGTTGAAGTGGAGATGGGAAGCAGTTGTGATAAAGGTATAATATGTATATATCTATCATCTGTGTGTGCGTGTGTATGTGCATATATATATATGCATATATATATCACTCTATGAAAAAATTTTTTTAAATGTAACCTTAATATAGTATATAGTAATTAAATTGTAGAATATCACATCATCTGCAAAATTCGAAGCTTGTTAGGTCAGTTTGAACAGATTTAGGATTCCAGAGTAAGATCTTAGTAAGGTCATATTGCCAGAACAAGGAGAAGCTGATCTATTTTTATATCTGCATAGGCATATATGTTATTCTCTCCTGGCAGCAGCTTTCAGTCTTCTCATGGCCCTTTGGCTGCAGTCTGGTGAATCATCTTGTCTGCACAGAACTGAACTTTGACCTGTGTGCAAACACCATCAAATCATGTGCAACACTAGACTATATTTTGTTCACAAGAATATAAAAAAATTTCATTGAATTCTATTAACTCCTACATTGCTGACAAATAGAGAAGTGGATTCATACCCCGTGAGATGCAAATAGTAAGTGAACTTATAGGTATTAAACATAGATCAGAGGAAATGACTTTTTATATGTGCACAGTTAAAGGTATATGCTGTCACACTAAAGCAGATTCATAACTGACCAACTCTCCCTAGTGTCTTGATAGTTCAGACCCCACAGAGATAAAGAAACAAATTATGTGCAAATGGAATGTGATGCACCTTTAAAGAAAACTGATTTTCTGTGGGGAAAAACAAAACAAAACAATAATTTTACAGTTTAGTCAAAGATCCTACATTTTGGATTCTTGATGTTTCTTTCTTCTTTTCCAGAGGTGCCGGCAGAAAGGTCCCCCCGCAGACGGAGTATCTCAGGGACCAGTACGTCAGAAAAACCCAACTCCATGGACACTGCAAATACCTCACCCTTCAAAGTACCAGTAAGTGTTTCTCTTCTCTAAAAGAATATTTTACTTTTCTCCTTTCTTCTTAGAGTTAGAGATAGTTACCAAGGAATCAAAATATTTTGCTCCTCAAGAATTTCTTTACAATACTGAGGTTAAAGGACAGAGTCATCAACTTACATGGATTAACTGTGGTTAATGTCCACTACTTTAAGTGTAAGCTTTATTAGGTTTTAGCGAATATTATTTTTACTTGTGGAGTATTTCCAAAATATGTAACTAAGCACATTTAATTCAAATTCCTCTGAACTGTGAAGAGCAAATCTCTGCAGGATGTCCTTTTATCAAGTTAAACCTATCTAGCTGAAATCTACCTAACTAGCTAAAACCTGTCACAATTCTGTAAAGGTACTGGTGGGATTTTTTTTTTTTTAATGGATGGGGGTATGACTTTTTTATTTTCCAGAGCTGGAGTACAAGCAAAGAGTGATGAAACTTAGAAAGTTGGGGAGCAAATTATCAGAGACTTATGAGTTCTGATCCTGAAACTTGGCCTGTGCTTTGCTTAAGCCATCTTTTAGAAGGCCATCTAAGTGCTGAAGAAATATCCTAGTTTAAAATACTCCTTAAACTGACAACACGGTACTGAGAATCAGTATTAAATACAAAAGAACACTGAGATGGAAAGACTGTAAGTGATCAGGTCATCTGACTACCAGTTGCTGGCCTAGTTTAGATCTTCTTGATATAACTCTGAGTAACTCAGATTTTAATTCATCTATTTTATTTGCTTATTGGTTAAGAAATATACTTACTTCCTAATCATATCATTTTATTAAAATTCATTGATTTTAAACTTGAAAAGAATTACTTACATGAAGTTGGTCATTATTAAAGGTACAATGGAAAGCAATATAAAGTAGAAAAAGATTTTTCTATTGAAAAAAAGATTTTTTTCTTTGAATTCAGGCAAGTTAGTATGTTGTATTCTTTCTTTATTTATTTATTCCAATGCTGGGTTTTTTTGAACTTTAGGATGACCTTTTACGTAGGACTGATATTTTGAGATATATAAGCTGGCATTCATTTATAAATTAACCGAAATGAATGTTTATTTTGGATTAACCCTGAGAAGCAAGATTTCCCCTTATTGTATCTCAGTGCCTTGTAGAGTTTGTGGATATCTGTTACTATGACATCTTTCAAATTTTTACAAATTTTCTCATTTTTAAAGATTACAAGCAAGTATTGGATTAATATTCTAACCAAATTATGACAAGTATTTTAAAATGTCAGATTTCATGCCTTTTACTAAATTTCTTTGTTCCGTAGACATAGCTACCTATTTAAAACGTTCTTTTCATGAATGAAAAAAGTGTTTTTCCCTCTCCTCTCCCCTTCTTGTTTTCCCCATGAAATAGAGATCGTTATAGTGAAACTAACTATCCATATACAGAGTTTGGTGAAAAGCATTGAGTTACAATTTGGAGTTTTCATACTATCACGCTAGAATAGAATGGTGAATTCTTAAATTTTTTTTTAAGTCAATAACTGAAGAAGAAGATCCCTCCACAATATAGTAACATTGAAGTACTTCCTATATTGAATCTGAACTTCATGGCTGGGCTTTTTAAGTTTGAATTCATTAGGAACAACAATTTTTATTTATATTTAAACAGTAATTTGACACCTAATTCAAGGTTTACCTTAATAATAAGACTAATTATTCTTGAATAAAAGTAATAAACCAGTGATGCATATACGTGACAGCTAACACTGCTTATAAACCTCTTACTCAGTTGTTAGCCTTCTGATAATCTCAGCCACTTCATGGATTTAAAAACATTGAGGGAAAGAAGGTGCCTCTGACTAGCAAATTGGAGTCACAAAGCCTGTGCACTTAGCTCTCTAGGAGAATAACCATTCACAAGCCCTCACCTAGACAATTGTTTGAAAAATAACCATCAGAACACATTGATTGCAATAAAGAAAGAAAAAAAAAAGACAGTGATTTGAGGGAGGAAGCAGAGAAAATGAAAAGCAAGCAGTCATAAAAACAATCTGAATCCACTTAGGATAAAGGCAAATAGCCTTAGATTTATCAGGAGCCCTTGAGGGTACCATTGTATTACAGGTTGGATGGTGCATAGTGCAATAATTGACACTGATAATAATGAACCTCAGTCATCAAGAAAAAGTGAAATTATATTTGTTGTGCTGGGCTTTTTTGAAAGTGGAACTGCAATATTGTGTGATATTTTGTGTTATCCATTGAGAATATTTAAGATCTTGAAGATATGTGATGCTTATAAAACTTGCTATCAAGAAAAATCTGGTTTGTGAAGTACCTCATTCCTTGATAATGCTGGATAAATAATTTATATTCTTTTAAGAGAAACCAAATATGCTGGCTAAATGAGGCACTGCAGTACTTGAATGTCTGTGGAAGTACATTGTGTTTTTTAAATTTCCATGGTCTTCCAAGAGCTGATGTGACCTACATCCCTTAAATGTATTGCCAATAAGAAGTATGTCTAGTTTTCAGATCAACAAAAAATATTTTTGTAATTAAGATCACGAAAGACTCTCTGCATATGAGAAAGCAGAAAAAAAAGAAACCAAACTTTGAGATACTTAACTTTAAGTTACTTATACAGTATCTCAAAGAAGATCATTTCCATGTTAACTTTATGAAGGGGCAGATGTGAGATTTAAGCACAAGTACTTGTGGTTTTAGGATTCAGGTATCTTTACTATGGTGAATAGCAGGTTCCCTCCTCATCAGCTGTACCCAAAAAGGAGCCATAGTGGACTCTCTCCCCTTATTCCTCCCAGCTCCATTTTCAGCCTTATTGAGAGCAGGTGATAATAGATTTTAGCAAGTCTTAACTGAAATTATTGACAATGACACACTTACTGAATGGTTACTTTGGGCAAAGTATTAGTGATTCACCAATTATTGATACTTTTTTTGGCATTATTCTTAGTACTGGGGAAACAGAAACGAACACAACAGAATTTTCCACTCCCAGAGAATTTATAACCTAGTAGCAAGAGACAGAAAAATTGCCAGATTGATAAGGCGGCAGATAAGCATGGTGACACAGGTTTTTAACAATGCACTGTGTAAGCTAAGGCTTTGCCAAGGAGCCAATATTTGAGCTGAGTTTCAAAGGCTGAATGAAAATAGTTGACAGGGGAAGAAGATTATTCCAGGCTGACTGAAAAGCATTTTGGAAAGACACACTTCATAAGATGGACTGATGCTTCCAGGGAATATAGACAGGGTTCGGTGAGGCAGAAACTGAAAAGCATCTACGTAAAAATGGCAAGAGAGAAGGCTGGAGGCGAGGTTGGGGCAAGACTGTAAGTGGACTTGTTTGTCAAGCTTAACTAAACTTTGCTGGCTGCTAAAGCATTAGAGATTTGTTTTTTGAAATATTTGTCTTGGCTCAAAAGCTAAACCAAGTTGTATAAATACTGTGAAGTATTGGTAAATTACTTGACTCTTCTTTCTCATGCTGTCATTATCTCCACTCAGGGTGATAGGTAAGGGGCCATGATTTAACAGAAGGCCAGCCCAGCACCCACCCTGGCTATCAGCTGACACTAGAGTATAGGTTAGCCTTCAGGAGATTCAGAAGAAACCAGTGGGTTAGAGTTGCTTGTATACTGCTGACTACTGCTAGATGAGGCAGAAAGGAGCCAAAGAATAACTCTAGCAATGAGCCCCAAACTTTTGTATATCTCCTCATTCCTCCAAATTTATATTTTTAAAAACATAAAGTGGATAACTAGTATAGCAGTGTTCTCAGGTGTATTTCTTACTTAGTCTAATCCACCTTCATGCAGTGGTAGACAGCAGTGTCAATAAGTTTAAAAGCAAGGACATGACAAATGGAAGAGGGAATTCATATAGCCACTGAACCTATAGGTTAAGGCAAGGTCTTGGTTTTTAGGAATCTTTAAAGGTATTTTTACTTTTCTCTAATCATAGCCATAAGAAAAACCAGAGATCTGCAGAATAGTTTTTCTGTTCTGCCTCCACTCTCCTTCCATATTTCTTCACCTTAATTCCAATCGCAGTTATTTCCTTATAGGTCTGTGTCCCTCATTAGACAAGAAATATCTCTTCTACTCATCTTTGTAGCTACCCCAATGCCTAACACAGCACCTCACACATAGTAAACACTCAACAGATAATCGTTGAATGGATAAAATATGCATGAATTATCTAAGGACTAGAGTTTCTCTCACAGCTATTCTCTTGGTATTACTGAGGATGTCTCTAGTCAAATTGGTTACTAAACCATTTAATAACCGCTGATAGATCATTTGGAATAAATGTACCTGTGCAGAATAGTTACATTTTTTCCTCAACAAAAAGATTTTAATTTATATTTGGAATTCAGGGCTATGGTATTTTATGTATATAGTGTATACTGTGTCTACTTATATTGGGAAGTGAAACTAGGTAGAATCCTTATTTAATATCTTTGTGGATATTTCATTGAGCCCTTTAGGTATCATGCATATGTACAAACTCACAATGTTTTTGCAGATCTGAGTTTTGACTGTTAGATTCTTCAAGAACAATTTTAGTCGTCTGAATAGTTTTTTCCTCTTTTTAAGATCCTATTTTTCATTTTTTCTTTAACATCCTGCTAGACTTTTACTTTTGTGATATTTGTCTTTTCCTTTAAATATAGCATCCATTGTATTTGTGTGTGTGTGTGTGTGTGTCTGAGGAAAATTGGCTCTGAGCTAATAGTCTTCCTCTATTTTATGTGGGAAGCTTCACGAGCCATGCTAGGTCCGGGCCCGGGATGCAAAACCTGCAAACCACAGGCCACTGAAGCAGAGCGCGCTCACTTAACCACTACACCACCGGGCTGGCCGCCCCCATTGTGTATTTCATACATTGTTAAAACTACATTTAAATGATATTACAGGGGTGATTAGGAAGAAATAAGAAAACTAATGAAAAGTTATCCAAGTCCTTAAATTTAATGCAGAAAGGGAAAATGATCACATCT